ATCCATGATGACACACACCCATAAATATACATCCCTTCAGTTTCAGTGCACGCAGGGTTCCTTCATAGCACTGCCAGAAGTCCTTAAGAAAAAGTAATTTGCTTTTCTGAAGCAAATTCAGAAACTAAGTCCATAACTACCCTGAGGAAAATGCAGTAGCCTGTCTCTCAGCAAACTTTATGCAAGTTTTCTCTCAAATAAGTGCCATTAAAAGTCCTCGCTCAGCACTTCTTTTACAAATAATTCTTAAAAAGTAAAGCTGCCCCGTGGCACAATGATTTCTAGACTGTTTTTTCTGCTTTTCTTTCCTCCCCCACACTCAATATATAAGCAAGATAAATTGCTACAGAACCTGCAGCTCCTTCTACAGCACTAGAGAGCAGTAGATTTAACAGCAAAGCCAAAAGAAGTCTCAAAATGTGTGATCCCAAATTTATCTTCTGTTCCTATCCCAGCCCAAATGAAGACATAGTGAGTCTGCCAACCCTGGGAGTAATGCAATAACTCTTGGTACAAAAACTTGTAAACTAACAAGAACACTGAGAAATGTGACTCTTCACAGCCTCGATGGTTTTTTATGAACAATAAAGATCTTAATAACAAGCTGTGCAAATAATAAAGTCTCTGATGTTTGTGATTTATGAGAGATCAGCAAATCACTGGAGGTCCAGAAAGGTTTCTGGTGCTTTGATGAGCAGGCTGGCAGTTCTGCCCCTTCCCCAGGGACAAGTACAGGACAATATTTACAAACAGGCTTGAGCATATTTCTGCCAAAGCACTGATGGGGAGTAGGGGGGTTATTTGTGCTCAGGTTTTGCATTTCAGACAGGAACACACTGCTCTGCCTGGACTGAACTAATTAAGGGCTAATTGACTGTCTAGCACCTATAAAGAGATAATTCGCCCACGCCATCTCCCACTGGAAACTGCAATGACTATTAGCATAGAAAGGATTGTTTATTTAGGGGTCAGCATAAGACACACATAAGTATTTGTTAGTAAGAGCAGAGAGAGGGCAGATGAGGATATGGATGTTTTTAATGGACGATTTAAATCTGGGTAGCTTGATCTCCTCTCATGCTGTGGATGTTGTGTGCTGCAGTCACGCCTCTCACTGCCAGCCTGCACTGGGATGATAATCACTCACTATGAAAACTCATTAGCTCCACAGCAATGAGCCCTCCACTGCTGAAGCTGGGTGCTGTTCTTAGTACCATGGCAATGATCTCTAACTGGATGTCCCAAACTCTCCCTTCTCTGGTGGGACTAAATACCACTAGAATAACCACTTCAGACTCTCTAGTAAGTAGCTGTTATATGTTGCAAGCTATCTTAATGCTGAGTTAGTATTTAAGTGCCAGCAAAAGTGTTAGTTTGTTGCCTCTTTGTAAATCTCTTTTTTAGTTACTAATCTTCCTTTCATCTCTTAATGCATGCTTAATTTTGGGCATCATAAAACTGCAAATTGTTGAGCATGTTGTGGTCTTACAATGAAAGGGAAGGTTTCAAAATAGTATCCTTAAATATGTAACAACAAATGCCTTCACCTTGAGCATGAAATTCTAAAAAGAATACAGCAATGTCTTTTCATTTATCTGGACTGTTCTTCCTATCTTTACTGCTCCAGAAAAATGCATTGTGTTGTTTAGAATATTATATCTGGCAGTAGCTTTCTTTTTGAAAATTGGATAATGTTACCTAGTAACTATTCACTATAATATGCAAAGGGTCGGATTCCTTCCTATTTTTCTTTATTGGAATACAGTTAAACAAATAAATAGCTGTTAGAAACAAAATAAAATTGGTACTAGGAGGTTAGATACCAGAATTTTTGAAAGGCTGCTAATGGGAATAATACAAAAGACAGAAATATCACTTTGTATCATTGATGCTCATATACAGCAGCCTCAGTTAATAAAAACCTCCAGGAAAGCTGTGAATACCTATGAAATCATGAGAAGCCTAAAAAGTCAAGTAACTTTTTACTTTAGAGGGAACACTATCCTGGTATTCAAAAATTAAATTAGAACCTAATTTTCCTAAATGTTTAGTAAAACACTCTTGTCTATGTATCTTTTTGTGTAACTGCAATCAGATGTTTATATAATAGTAGGTTATGTAAAATATAAATGTAACTATTTGTATAGCAGTTCACAATTCTCAAAACTCAGAATTTTGTAACTAAAAATTATGCATTTACTAACCAAAATGGAATAATTGAATATAGGCATGCAGGAAAAATACTACTGCAGAAAATCTCTGTATTTAGTCTATAAATATTAATACTTCAAAATTAAATATGTTGTAAGAAAAATTCTGTTATCTTTTAAAGCAGCATCTGAGAGTACAAAGAAAAGCTCCATTTTCCTTAAATGTAATTTCATTTCACTGAGTCACAGTATGTATTGCTAGTTCTTGTGGCTGTATAAGTTCCCTATCACATTTACATCCAAGTTTAAAGTTGCCATTGTGTAACTACGAGACAAACATTAGTTATTATGAGATATATATATTGATATATATATATATTTATACACACACACAAATATATGTGTTTGTACTGATATGTTCAGATTCCAAGTAGCACAAAACTGTCATGCTCCCCTTGGCTACAACAGGGCACTGCTGATAGAAATGCCTTCTAAATATTAAGAATTCCTTCAAGAATGCTCTTTTCACTCCTTGAGTTGAGCTATAAGCATATTTTTTGTTTTGATAAGGGTAGCAAGAGTGCCGGTAGAGCTGGGAGAATGATCATAAAAACTTGATTATCTGAGCTTGGCAACATCTGCCAAATAAAAAAAAAAACATGAATTGCAATCATGCAGGGTTCTTTTTTCACTAAACCAAGCGCCATAAATCTGGTGCCTTTCTTAAAACGGTATATGTTGGTTGAAAGACTTTATGCCCCAAGTGCTCAGTAATACCAGGGTCATCACTGACTGATTTTTGGCTGCCATCCAGAGTTCCCCACTTGCAGCTTCTCCAGTGAACTCTGCAGCCTGAGCACTTCTCCAGAGTTTCTCTCCCAGCACATACACAGCTCATAAATTGTGTATATTGTACAATGTACAAAAAGGACAAAACCTCCCAATTTCCTGCCTTCAGCTGGAAGAATTGTGCAAGGATGTGGGGTCAGGTAAAGGGCCTCCTCTTTTGAGCCCTGTCACAGTACCAGGCTTGAAATTGCAAGACAAACCAGAAAATACTGTTTATGTTTAAGCAAGCATCCTAAGTAAGGTACTGTCCTTTGACCTGTCACCATAGTAACAACAGAGGTAGCTGTAATAGTTTTATTACAATATATGAAAGTGCAAGTGAAAAAATAAATCTTTTAGAAGTGAACTATGTCTTTATTATAGCAGCCTGCCACAACAGTGGCTAATATTGGACTTTACAGGGACTTGTCTGTTTTCCCCAGATTTTCAAGAACTACTAGAAGTTACTATTGTTGTTTTCCACTTGTCATTACTTTTCTTTCTTGTTTACTGAAGGCCTGTGAGCAGTAAGCCTGTGTTTGAAAAGTTGATGCAGTAGCTTCTGTAAGGTTTTGATGATTTTAGCTCTTTTTCTGCACAGCAGTTTTTGCTTGAAGTAGGGATTAAATGTCAAACTAAAACAATAAAAGAAAAATAAAGCAAAGTGCCCCTTTGCACACATGCATGTTTTTCTCTGCCATCACTCATATTACCCATCCTAATTAATGAAGGAAGCCTAAATATCCAAATAGAAGGAATAACAGAAAAATTCATAGGACTGTAGCCAAAATTGTAGAAGGTACTGCCTCTTCAATTACTTCTTCAGAGGAGTCAGTCCACAGAGATATTGGCACCTCTTCAGAGATGAGGAACTCTGCAACTCCTGCACTAAGCTGCCAGGAAAGCATCAGTATCAAAGCTTCCCTGTTTAAATAATCACTTTCTCTGCTGGCACTGAGTACAATTGTGTAATATAAATAGCAACTGATTCCAGCTGTGTCCAGACCAAAATTACTTCAATGATATCCATTAGCATCTGCACCATGAAATTCATCACTCAGTACAATATTAGGAAAGAACAAAGCACAATATTAACTGTAATTTACAGTTTAAAAAGAAAGTTCAAAAACTGTTTCTTGTATCTATTAAGTTCCATCACCTGAATGCTTTCAATCATCTCATTATATTGTTTTCTGTCATTCCTACACTATTTCTGTACATTCCATTAAAGAGATACTGAATCCCACACAAACATTAAATGCAGTTCAGTGTTACCCTGCTCTGCAAACAAATGTAAATTATTTTTTTTGCCCTTCTTTCTCAGTCATGGTTGCTGTAAAAAAGAAGAGATTATGAATTCCCAGTTTTCTGCTGTCCCAGTGAAGGACATGCAGTGTCTTAATTGCCCAGTGGCTTGCTTGCCAGGAGCCCCATTCCCCTGGCCCAACCAGATACTTTTCCATCCCACCCTGAGCAAGTCCCTGTTCCCTTGGCCAAGTGCAGTGGGAGCCTGGGGAGCAGTTCCTGTGAGGTGCAGCTTCCAGAGCAAACCTGTCCCCCACCCCCAAAGTGCTGCTGAGCCAGTTCCCACCTGTGAGTCACACACTGTGCTCTCCCCAGGCTCAGATGTTTGTTCTTTCCTGTCTTTGTTGTTTCCATTAGTCTAAAGTAAAAGTCATCCAGGCTGAAAGGACATGTTTGTTCTCTGCTGATGAAAAACTCTAAATGTCCCTCTGCAGAGAATTAAATCACCTGGTTTGTGCTGAATCACAAACAGAGTGCCATTCTCATCCACCCTGGAAACTGTGTGTGCTAAACTCCTCTAGAGAACTATTGCAAAGGTCTGAGATATGGCAAAACTGGGAAACTACCAAACTAATTACTGAAGAGTAATAATTGTTGGCAAGTTGGAACCTCATTGCAGGCATGTACTGCAAAAATAAAAATATTCTGCTGCAGTGTTTTTTTCAAACAATAAAAATCAGTTCAGTTCCTTTGATTGTTATTATTTTGTTGTTACAGACTCAGATTAGCCCCAAGGAAGGGTGGCAAGTTTATAGTTCAGCCCAGGATCCTGATGGCCGTTGCATTTGCACTGTTGTTGCACCTGAACAAAACCTATGTTCGAGAGATGCCAAAAGCAGGCAGCTCAGACAACTACTAGAGAAGGTAAGTCTTTCCAAAATATTCCTCCTCTTGGTCATTGAACTTCCCATGGAAATCTATTGCTTTCCTTCTCAGTTAATCCATCATGAACTAATGAAGAGTTACCTGATAAAAATTGTTATTCAGGGTATATCCCCTATCTGTGTTCTCATCTCTGTTATCTATTTTCCTTACATCGCACCTTTCCCAACCCAAGTTTCATCTCCTCTCTCCCAAATTCTTTTTTACATACAATAGGACAGATTTTTCTGTGTAAAATCAGCTACAAATCCCACTTCAGGCTAGCTCAGGGATTTAAACTACAGCTTCTGCTATGATCACGTGAGACTGCTGAAGGTCATTTCTCATCTCTTATCAAAAAATAATGAGAGAGACACCACAGCATCTTGAAGGCAAACTGCAGAGCATAAACAGTTCTAATTTTTTTGTTGTTTCTTTTTCTCAAGTTTATTTATTCATTTTCTGACGGTGCAAATTTTCCCCAACAGCCTAATTCTTAATTCCAGTATTATCCACTATTGCACATATGGTGAAACCAATGAAGTCTTGTTTTACATCAACAGAAAAATGCTGCAAATATGAAAACACAAACATTCTACATTCCCTGCATAAGTAAGCAAGGTTATAGTCACTGTATCACAGCCAGTGGTACAGAACCTGAGGCCCAAGGGAGTTTTAACAGCAGCAAAAACCAACATAAAATGTTGACTTGAAAATACATTTTTAGCACACCATTTTTAGTATTTTTGTAGCTATAGAAAAATCATTCCAGTGTTAATATAGTGCCAGATCCCCACAGATTTTTGCTCTCTGTGCTTCCATGAACTTCAGAAGGGACAAAGTTTCAAGCTGACAGAGCCCATAACATGACATACATGGAGAGGACATTGATGGACCAGCAGAGAAAAGGAGCTGCCTCCCTTCATAGTGTCTGTTTACTGAAGGAAGGAACACTCCAGTCTTTGCTCCAGCATATTCCCCAAATACTCAAATATTACTAAAAAAACTCTTTACTTTGAGGTGGGGGCTGGAGGGGTGTGATAAGATCACAACATAGTTTTTGAGCTGCCACAGAAATGAACCTAAATCATCAGCCTCTCAAAGCTGTTTTCTTGTGATGAGGACTGTGGCAGTCATGAATAGGTAATGTTGTATTACTATTTCCTGAGTCCATACAGTCCTTTAATTAGAGCCTCTGTGTGAAGTGTCTTCTGCCAAATAGAAATTCTCAAAATTCTTCCAGCACCCAAAGGACTTTATTTGCCTGCTTTCAACAATTAGATAGCAAAAAGAAAAAAAAAAAAAAAACAAAAAAAAGCCTCTGCATCTTACATTAAAAATCCTTTCTCAGAACTATTAGTGGCAACTGTACAAAAACTAATCTATACTATTTTTAAGAGTAGTTTCTAAATCCACACTTTCTGTAGATCATAAGTTAGCTCCAAACATGAATATTCCTTGAAATACTGCATATTCTTGCAAACCACAGGAGTACTGCTGGGTTTGTCTTTCCTTAAAAAGGTACAAAATGTTTTGTTTGAGCCAAAACTTCAATAAGGTGCCTAATACATTTGCAGCAGTCTAGTTTCATCATGTTTTAGAAAAACAAAACACTTGCTGAAACAGAATAACTGCACTTGGAAAATGTGTAATTTTTATTGCTGGCAAAAGCATTGCTTTCATAACAGAAACTTTTAAAAGTATGTGTAATTTACTCTGGATGACAGTTACTGTTGCCTCACTGTGGTAAAAGTCCTCACTATAGCTACAAAGTCACTTGCTCTACCAAAGTAACCTAAACATTCACTACTTTTCATCTGGAAAAAAAAATTGTAGTTTTCTACCAGTGAGACAATTGGATAAAATTTCTAATTTTACATTTACTTACGAAATTATGAGGAAACACCTTTGTGGTGATTGACACAGCCCCGCTTATCTCTGGGTAGTCTTCTGAATGCCTTATATTGAATGATTCTATAGATGCCTATTAACAAGTAAACTCATGCTCCTCACACTGACCAAAATCTCCACATTTCAGTCCTGTCCCTCCCAAAGTGCCTGGAAGGAAGCATATGCTATATGAGCACCTTCTGAACCACAGCCACATCTGCTACAGGTCTCAAAGTAGACTCTATTGCCTGATAGCCTTTCCTGAGAACAATGAAAATTATGTTTAAAAGATCTCTCTCTCTCTCTTTACCTCTAAGTAATCCAAACAATTTTTTGCTTCAAGGCCTTGCCCTGTTCCCCAATATTTATACCATCATGCAGTTACAGAATGTGTGGTAGAATGACTCACAACTAATTGACAGAAGTGCATTTCATTGCCTGACATTTAACCAGGGAAAAAAGCAAAGCAACAAAGGTGCATTTAGAAAGGTGCATTCTTTAACAGGTTCAGAACATGTCCCAGTCTATTGAAGTTCTAAATCTACGGACTCAGAGGGATTTCCAGTACGTTTTAAAAATGGAGACGCAAATGAAGGGGCTGAAGGCCAAGTTCCGGCAGATTGAAGACGATCGGAAGACGTTGATGACAAAGCACTTCCAGGTAGCTCCAGTTTTTACAGTAACTCCCAAACCTGCTGGAAACAATGTGCTGAGTGACAGTGCATGGACTGCTAAGGTCTCAGCTGGAAATGCTCCTACAAGGGTGCCATTTAAAAGAAAAGCATAATAAATCTTCTGTTATGATGATAATCTTTTGCTGTGTTCAATTTAATTGTAATAGGGAGGAATTATTAATTATTAAGTCATTAGAGAAATGTCACTATAAACAGATTCCTGTTCTTTCTGTATCAATGTGCATGTCATAGAGAAATTTATATTCTTTCAAGCTGCAGTGCTAAAGGGGGAGATCCAGTGGAATTAATAGCAAACAAGTGGAGTTCTGTGCTCATACTGTTCCATGACATTTACTGCAGTTGAAAGGAAGAAAGGCTATAATAAATCAGTTTATTTTAATTTTTATCCAGTACAATTAAGATCTAATTTCATGTCTGAAGGTCTGCTGTTTTGAATTTGGGATGGGGAGGAGGGCAATCACTCCCAGGCACATTTGTGTGATTAAAAAAAAATACTTCCCCTGAATTTTAATGACAACAAAAACCACAAGCCAATCCTTTTGTGAGGAAAAAGGCTTGCATATATTACAAGTAATATTGTGTATTCTGAAAAAGCTACCTGAAGTACTCTTCAGGAAAAAAATATTTCAATAGCGTATTTAAATTCTTTAAATACAGTCTGATAAATTAATCTTTCAAGACTGTGAAAGCACAAAATAGGTGCTAGAAAATACAGTCTGAGGATTACATTATGTTAAGCAAATACATATTTTTTGAAGTGTTTCTGAAAGTTCACATAAAATGAACCTAATTTTCCAATTGGTGCTAGAGTTAGATACCTAAATAATTACATATTCAAGAAGTCCAGGGGTTTTCTTCAGAGCCACTGAACATCAAGTGGATCTTAATAACATCAGGAATTAAGTACACTAATGATCTGACTACCAAGCTTTATAAATTATATCATTGTTCTTAGTTTAGAGCTGTTTGAGCACATTCTCCCAGGTTTTTAGTTAATAGAAAATATCTTCACCTTTTTTTCCTTCTTACTACAATAACAACACTTTTGCATAATTCCATTATATATCCTTTATTCTTATTTTAGTTTTCCTTGGGAATAAAATACCAAAATTTGAATGTCTGATACACAATATCAGAGGTCAGAGAACTCCAGTGCTCTAACCTTTTAAATATTCAATATTTCTATTGGCCAGTCATTTACCTCCATTTGACACTTTACCAGGAGTATAAAACAGAGTTCCAACCAATCCAGTTACAAAATCATTTTAAAAGTCAAAATAATACAATATGTTGTTCTGAAATTTAGTGTACTCAAATTCCAGTGCTTTATCTTTCCTGAGATAAAGAAATCGTGTTGGATATAACATAACCTTTCATATCAACTGCCACAAAGTGCCAGAACACATCTACCAACTATCTATGCTGCAATAGAAATTAGTTCTTGTACCACTCATCACAGCAACAAGGTCTGGAGTGTCAGCAGAAGCCATTTTTTTAATTTATTTATCATGAAAATGCGAGAATCAACTCTATATGATTTACTGAAGTGAGATATTCTAAATCTGTGTTTTCATGCTGACCAGAACCAAGGAGTACAAATTTGGTTCAGATCGCGCTTGAGCATATACTCAGTATATACTTTACTTTGTGCCAGGCAGGAGGTATCTGACTGCCACAAAAAGTTACAGCAAGTTTGCTCAAATGTGATACATCATCTGGCATAAATGCTACCAGGAGTATATTACCTTCACTAATTCAAAAAGATTTTATCTTCCTGAGTTGGCCATTCACTGTCTTACAGAACTGAAGCCTAAGTTCATAATTTCAGAATGAAGTAACAAAAACTATGGTTTCTGGAGCTATTCTTTCTCTGTCACAAAGCCTACTTCCCTTGTCATCAAGGAAAAATTACTATTCATTTCAACAGGCATAAAGTAGGTTTAGGTTAAGATTTTATTAAAAACAGCAATATAAAAATGGTTTTAACTGTAAACAAAAGGACTTCATTTCTTTGTGCCCATTTTGGTAACTGCTGCCATAATGTCATTGAACTGAGAACAGAATCAACAGAAGTAATACTCTGAAATCCATATATATGATATATCTGCTACATTTCAGTAAAGCAAAATCTTTTGACTACAAGGATTCTTTGACATTTTCTACAGAATAGGAACAAAAAACAACTTCAAACAATTGGTTTAAATTTAGTAAAGCCCCTATTATTAGTGCTTTTAAAAGAATAATTAAGAAGTGAAAGATGGGCAACCAATATATGCTACAGATTAGGATAAATTCTCAAAGTATGAGTCTCAAAAACTTCTGAGGAGAGGGCAGTCTGAGATTTTAAGATGGAGTCTTATTTCCTTCAGTCAATGTTTAAGAATAGCATTGGCAATGCAACAACTTCACACGGCAAAAAACCATTGGTGATATTCCAAAAGAGATGTCAACTGAGCAAGTTCAAAAGCATTTAGTGATGCAGCCAGTTGACAAGTACAAATCACAGTTCAGAACCATGGATTTTTACTTCAGAAGAAAAAGTTATCTATCATTGTGGCTGGAACAGAAATAAACAATTTTCAACAGACATTGAGAAAAACAAAGGATTTAGTACTTTTAGGGAATGAAATAGAGATTACCAGCTCAACAACTACATATGGCTGCTCTGTAAACCAGGTATGACCTTGAACACTACTGTGAGTTCAGGCCTCTTCATCTTGTGATGAAAGACACACTTAGGGGTACTTTATACCCCCTAGATGAAAAGTCATGAGGTTTGTTCAGATCATTTGAAGATAGCTCTTTACTTTCAATAGAAAGACTATTCTCTCATGCATTGAATCTCCTGCTTACTACCATTAAGTCTGAAGTGTCTGAGACTTGCACAGTAGACTAATAATAGATTTGTAACTAAAATAATCATTTTCAAGTTGTTTTAATAATCAGGCATAAATATTACATTAAAGGAAATTAGGGGATTGAACTGCTTTAAACATCTCTAATGCACATATGATTGCCTTTAACAGGAGTTGAAAGAAAAGATGGATGAGCTTCTGCCACTGATCCCAGTTCTGGAACAATACAAAACTGATGCCAAGCTGATCACACAGTTCAAGGAGGAAATTAGGAATCTGTCTACTGTGCTCACTGGGATTCAGGAAGAAATTGGTGCTTATGACTATGAGGAACTGCACCAGCGTGTAGTCAATTTAGAAACCAGGCTTCGTGACTGCATGAAAAAGCTCAGTAAGTTAACAAGTTCATGGCAAATTTGTCTTGGCTCTGCATTTTTAGTTGTCTCTCTTTAGAAAGATTAAAGTTTGGAGGGAGGGAGGATTTGTTTGTTTCTTTGATGAAAGACTGCATTATATTCTGATCTGTGCTACCCTAAAAAAAGACAAGAGTAAAATCCTAAGGTCAGTTATATCATTCTAAGTGCATGACATAATGTAATGCCTTACTGTATACAAAAGGAATTAAATGAAAAATCATAACAGATGGCAAATTCAAAATCTGAGGTTTAAACCACTTGGAGAGTTACAAATATTCTTTCAAAAAAGCTCAGAGAGACACTACTACTAGAGACTTCTTTGGGCTGTCAGTGGGAAAAAAACAGTGAAAAGTAGAATGGAATCAGTTTTGAGATGTCCACATCATAACCCTGGCACCTTGCTGTGTCACCTGAGAGGCCACTCTCACTGTCCTGTCCTTCTTAGCCTGTAATATTAGTATTAAGGAGATCTCCCCTTCTCCAATTAGCATTGCAACCTAACCAAACTTCACATCTAATTTAAAGAGACCAAAGCATGATTTCTGCAGGATGCACAGCAGCAATCCACTGCTACTGCTGCACCAGGTTTACCTCAGGCCACCTCCACCTTGGCTGCTCCCATGCTGCCTTTACAAGTCAAACGTTGAGCATTTCTGAAAATCAGCACTAGCTCAGTATCAGCTATAAAACTAAGGCCTGAAGGATCAATATCAAGTGTCAGCCTCAACTTCCATCAGGGATAGGTAACCTGCTTTACAAACACAATGCAGTCTTCCCAGTCTTTCCATGCATTTGGAGATTTCTGAATGGATCACTATTGCAAACAATAGTGATTGGATAACTACAACAAACAATCCAGCCCCTTTATGAAAAATAAACACTTCACACTTTACTTAACACTAAATAATTTACTTAACATTAAACGTGAATAAACTTGAAAATCCAAGGTTTATGCCTGAGACACTGTGATCAGTGTCTCAGTTATCAAATGTGGGATGTTTTAAATGCTACCCAGGACATTAAATATCTTCTTAACTGGATAAGCAGAGCCTCCTTATTTTTGTGATGCAGGAGAATGAGAAAAATCTAGGTTAAGTTAGCTTCTTAAATAATTTATTTCTTTATTTTATTCTGGAAATAGCACAGTGGTGATGTGCTAAAATACATGAAAGACTTCTTCAAACAGAAATTTCTTATGATCTTATTTTCCCCTCAGTACACACACAAAATAGCACATTACTGCATTGACAGAAGGCAGTCAGGAGAAAACAGCTGTGTTGCAATACTGCAGCAAGCAAGAAAATTCCTGTGAATAAACAGTATTTTCTGATAGTGAGTGTTCCAGTAAGTTATTAGACACCAAAAATCATCAGTTTAACAAGTATTTTGTTTGGCTTTGCTTTTACAGCATCTTGTAAGAACAGTTAGTGAAGCAATGAGTGTGAGATATATTTTGTACGATGGACTTACTAGGTGTATTGACATCCTGTCTATCCTGAATTCCTGCAACACATTCTAATCTCCATGTACCTAATGAAAAAAAAAAAGTATTAAAATTATGTACATTAGCAGTTGAAAGTTTTTGTAAAATAAATTATTAAGCATACCCATTAACAAAAGGGAGTGGACCTTCTCAAGATGTAACACAGATGTAAACATTCATCATTATTGACATTATTCCTTGGCCTTAGATGCTTTAATGATTTTTGTGGTCCCCAACTAATGGGCTGGCTGTTTTTCTGGCCTATCCCTGTGTGCCTTTTGAAGCACAAGCAGCCTTAGTTTGGCTTCCTGTAACTGCTGAGAGCTGGGGCTGCGTGCTCAGATCAGAGAGCATGAGGAAAAAGCAGCTTTCATGCCAGCACCTGCTTTGTGGCCACACTGGCCATGCTGGAGGTGACCCAGCCGTGCCTGTCCATGCCAGCTGACAGCCAGAAGCCAATGGCCCCAGTGTGCCACAGGACCTGGCTTGAATCTTCACAGATTTTGTTGCATTTCATAATACAATTTTCTAATCAGTGTATGCAACAGCTACTCTCTATTCTTCTCCCAGCAGGTGTTTTTCAGCAGTATAATGCATTATTTATATTGTCCTGGCCACTTAAAAGGGTTCTTCCATCTGCACTGGCAACACTTTCAGCACTCATTGCAGTACACTAAGCAGTTATCTTACTCTCACTGAGGTTTAATGGTTACCACAGCAGCTGGGATGACTGAATTTTGCTCCTTCTCTTTGGAATAAGAGAAAATTCAAGATGAAGCTGCTGGGAAATTAGTCAACAAAACTTTTAAAGGGTGCATGCAGCTAACCACGGGGGAATTGAGTGCATGTGATTACACACACCCCAAATTCACATGTAATTTTGCATGTATGGGTCCTTTGCTGATCGTCCTGTGAGTCCTGGGTATTTATAAGAGAATGCAGGTTGCACAGGATGCTTGCAACCTTCCTATTCTCGTCATGACATGTTTTTGAAATTAGAATAAAACTTACATGGGTAGCATTCATAAAAGCTAATACTCTGACATATAATTAGAGTAGATATATATCAGATTTAGGTCTAACTGCATCTGATTATAATGTAGAGTCTGAAAAATATGTTACAGTAACTTTTTTTGTTAAAAATTGCAAAGTAAAATATTCTATGTGTCCAAAGAAGTTCTGTTACATCAGTGGCAGAGGAGCTGTTAGTGCAGCCATGAGACTTGATTGCAGTGGTACTTCTACTTCCAAACCATCCTTCCCTTTGGAATTTGAAGAACTTTACAAATACCATTTAGTATAAAACTGGACAATAGAGATATAGATTCTTATCCCTATTTTGTAGATCAAGGAACAAGCAGCCCAAAAGTAGAAATGGATTTTCCAAAGCAAGTCATGGCATTTATGCAGAAAAATCCAGGACTTTCTCTCAGCAAACTCTAATAACTATATAATAGTGCTTCCTGGATTCATATTATACAGGAAAATAGACATACATTCATTAAGAACTAATTCTTCATTCACTCATTTTAGTATGTTATAATAAATTTAACCATAAGCAGAAAAGTGTAAGCAGTAAGCCATTTGGAATGCATTTGTGCAAGTGCCAAAACCACCCTCACTTCATTCTCCTTTATTTATTACCTACCAAAAAAACCCATAATAATGATGCTTATGAACCCTTCAAGAGAATGTTGTGGGTTTAGTTCCTTTGCCAGTCCTTCTACAAATGATACATTCAGTTGCTCTATATGGCAGTTACCAATATTCAGACACATCACAGAGGATGGGACTATCCACACATTTATAGCTAATCCAGAGCAGCTTCTCTCCAGCTGCACTGTCACAGCCTCCTCCTGGTACTTGATCACTGTGGAGCTTTCCAGACACATTCTGCCCCATGTACTTTCACAGCTCACAGGCTGTACAAAAGTACATCTATTTTCTCTTCTACTGGTCACTTCATGCTCAACTTCTTCCTAAATATAAATAAATCGTGGAAATCATGAACAGACTTACAAGAGTCCACTGCACAGAATTGTTGCAGGAGAGGAATCAAGCCAGAAACACCTGGATTCTGCATATGATATTTCCTGTACAGCTTAGTTTAGGATCTAAAAAGACTCTATGATTGGGATTTTCCAACTACTACTATCAATTATGGCTGGAACTTGCTAATGTAGGGCAGCTGCTTCTTTCAAAGCCAAGGAAAAGAGACTGAGGGCTTCTAAAAATCCCACTGCTTTTCTGTGTCTATCCCCAGTTGAACCTCTTAGGGAAAGAAGAAAAAGAAAGCCTAGAAGTATCACACTTTTCTTAGAGTTACTGAACTTCTTCACAGGTGCTAGTATGGACATATATTTGACCTAAATTTTATTAGCATCTGGTCCTTCTTTCAGGGAATCAAATTGCTATAAACCAAAACTTTTGGTATGTTCCCTTCTGCCACAGGGAAATAAAAGGTTTCTGCTTAGTGAGGAAGGAAAAGAAAAATGGGACCTACTATAGGGCAGGAGGGGAAAAAAAGTCTTCATGCTTCTTACAAAGTGCTCTGTTCTGTTATGCCAAAAAGTGAAGCTTTGTCACTTTTTCAGTCAGCTGCCCCCCAGCTATACAGCAGCTCTCCTAGGAGTCTTCCTTTCTTGATCACTGCATGCTGCCTGGGAATAAAGATTTGATCAGAAATTCACCCTGGCTCAAACTGCTGATCATTTAACTGCTGAAGTACTTCATCTCTTCACATTGAACAGCATCTCGATACATTTTGAAAGATTATTCTCTAAAAGCATCTAACTCCTGTGACAGGGGTACACAGCTCTATTCATATAGTTTAAACTAAATGAAGGCTGAAGAGGTTCATTAATTATTAACAATGTGTAACTAACTCTTAATCAGCAAGCTATACATTCAGGACAAATACAATACAACAGTGGAACCACTGTACTGACACTTAGGCATACAAATCTCTGAATTGCTCTCTAACCTCCTCACACACAGAGCAGCACCCAAACAGCCCCAGAGCTGTGTGCACCCCCCTGCAAAATGCAAACACCCGAACATCCCCTGCTTTTAGCCCTGTCCAGCTGCAGCCTGGAGCCTGCTGTGTGCCCATGCTGCTCCCACCATGGCCGGGCACCGCTGAGCCCAGCTGGAGTGCTCCTGCTCCTGCACCTGCCCTGCCTTGGCCCCTGACACAAAGTGCCTCAGGGAGCCCTCACATCTCTGCCAGGGGCTCTTCCATAGGTTTGCCCATTCAGAAGCAAAACTTCATAACTCATTATGAGTCTACTTTTAGTTTCCTGGATTTCTTTTTTTATAGAAGAAACAGTGCTTCAGATTCCAAATTCCTTTTATTCTTTCCCACTAATTGCAATACTGTGTTGTAAAGGCACGAAATAGTATTAGCATACCTTATAACTGATGCATTCACTGTATTTTAATTATCCTAGAAACTACAAGTTCAGGAGTAATTGTTATTCTGATTTCTTTCTATTTATTAGTTTTCTGATAACTCATTCCAAATTAAGTATTCCAAATTCAAACTCAAACCTTAAGAAGTGTTATCTTATGCCCATTTCTGAGACTATTTACCAACAGACCGCCTAAAAATAAAAGCCTTCACCTTGATAGGTTATAGTCTTCTACCTTTCAAGCTAATAGCAATTCATGCTGTAGAAAAAGAGCACTCAGCACACAATGCTAGCAGCCTACTGACAAAAAAATCCAGAATAAAAAGTTATGTCCTATCATAACCAAGCATTTAAAAACCTATAAGATTCTTTAAAATGGGAAATTCCAAAAATATCTTCAAAATCCTGCAACCTAAACAGATTAAGATATGGCTCTTAACAATGTCTCTTAATTGACTCAGAAAATAGCCACAGTCTACCCTGCTCATTGAGGTCTCAGCATGCACTCAGTTATCTTCATTTCTGATATGTCCAACTTCCCTGGCTGTGAACAAAAACTACCCAAGCAGCCTCTGAGTTTTCACCACAGCATTAACCCCATTCTAAGTGACCCAAATAGACTGGCATGATACATTCCTTTCTAGTTACAGAGTATAGAATTCAGGCTTGATGTGACCCTCTCTTTTGAGCTGAATAAATTCCCTCTCTACACCTGATACCATTTGTTTTCTACATTTCCTACATAGATATGGTTATCAGTATAGCACAACCATGTAGCACAGAGAAGCACTTACTTTTAAATTTAAAAAATTGTTTCACTTCTTTTTTACCTTCTTTTCTTTAAAAACATGTTATTCAACCTAATTGCATGCACACCACTGTGTGATATTACATCTTGGTAAACACATTAATTCCACCAGGAGCTTGTTACTAAGAGGGATCTTATTAATGTCCCCTAAAATATAGATTTTTGAATTGTTAGGAAGGTCAGCATCTGAGGTGGTATTGACTTTCATTATTTGCTCCCAGGCAGCCAAATAGATTAGAAGCCAACCAATACAGCCAAGCTTGCTAAATAATTCTCATACTCACTTTCTCCAGGCAGCCTCCAGTAAAGAAAGAGCCGTGTGTGTGTAAGCAGGGGGCAGGCGGGCACAAGCTTAGAGTACAGCTCTATGTTGTGTGTACAAGCTCATTTGTGTGTCTGCCCTTCACCACCTTGTTACCCTGGCCAATGGAAAACTGAAACATCCATCAATCCTAGCTTTGTGCTGAACTTTCTGAGGGCAAAAGGCCAGAGAGGGATTATGTCTTGATTTTTCAATTATTATTAAATGCTCTTCAGCTCAGAAGATATTTTATCGGTTGTATCTTAGCTTATGCCCAAAGACCATAACTGTGCTTTGATGCAAGATGCAAATACAAAATGTAAATTACAAAGATGCAAATACAAAAATACATACTAATAAAATTTTATGTGCATATTTTTGCATATTTATATTACTCTTCAATATGGAAAAGTTCCTCCTGTGAAGGTGACAATCAATCTTAAACATAAGCCTGAATCGCCTGGAGCCACTGTGTAGTTTGGAGCTTTTGGTCTTGTGCTCTAGCTGATGTCGAGGAGAGTTGTGCATTATTGCATTTGTTTTTTTTATTTCAGCATGTGGCAAATTGATGAAAATTACAGGCCCCATTACAGTGAAGATATCTGGAACCCGATTTGGAGCCTGGATGACGGATCCACTGGCATCGGAGAAGAATAACCGAGTATGTTAAGGCACCATCTTTGTGTCCTGGAGTCTTACTTCCTTTATTCTAATCTTATAAAAGATATTTTCCCCTAGGATGTTACATTCCTAGGCATGTTTTTCTATTTCAGTCATTTTCACACTCAAACATATCCAGAGAAAAAGCAACAGTATTTTTGGGAAAATATCCAACTACAAAAGTTATCTAAGCACTTTTGTGCCATTTACTTCAACTTTTTCAGGGTTGATAATCATCTATCAGAACTTAATTTTTTTTTATTTCCTAACATATTTAATTGTGCTTAGGTCTTTTAAGAACCAGAGTAATCTAAAACATCAGCATTTTTACCCAAGAACAGGACCCATAATGCAGTACAGTTAAAATTTGCAGGATTCAGCCCCATATATGCTCTGGTCAGATCATTTGTTCTGTCATACCCATGTTTTGTTATTTGGATCTCCAATAAGATCTCAAATTGGCTACAGTTTTGAGAAGATGCTCTCTCCATCAAAGAGTTTTGGAAGTCAAAACACTGGGCTAAATTTGTATGAAACCCACAACATTAATTTTTTGAATACAGAAAAAAACGACAGGCAACAGAAAAGGCAACAGAAAAATGACAATAGATAAAGATTTGTGTGCAGCTCTCCCCTGCCCACTGTGTCCGTACATATTTGCTACTGACTGCAGAAATCTCAATTACCTTTAGGAGAGCATCAAACTCTGAGAAACTAAAAGGAGAAAAAGCAAACTGCATGAAGGAAAAAAATGGGGGAATGGAAGCTGCCTAAAGAACATTAAAAAGAAGTAACAATTCTGTTTTAAGGGGGAAAAAGGGCTTTGAAACTTTACTGGTTTCATTGCCATTGACTCTGTTTCTTTTGCTAAGAAAAGACTCTCTTTTTCCTTGAATAGAGAATCAGCTGAAAAAAAATTTAACCACATTTATTCTTAAGTATAAATTCAAGTTTATCTCATATACCATTTCCCACCTCTCTCTCTTAGATTATTAAATACCTTTAAGCAAGCATGATATAGCAGAAGCACAAACACTGAATAACCCAGAATTAAATTTCTCTGAAAATGTATTTCACTGTAGTTAGTAACAGACGTGTTGAGAATTCACCTGTACAGGTAAGTTTGATGCAGAAATTCAAGAATTCCTCCTGCTTTTGTAACAGGAACATGGGCAATATTGCACTTTCATAGCCTTCTGCACAGCTAAAACTTGTTTTCCCTCTTTTTCTGCAAGGTCTTTGTGTAGTGGCTTTGGTTTACCAATTTAAGATTTCCTGGCCAATGCACCAAAGAGTGTGGCAGGTTTTGGTGCTGGCCAATCACTCATGCACTCACTTCCTGCTGTGAGACAGGATTAGGAAAAAGGCAAAGCAAGCTCAAAACTTTAAAAAGGTATAAAGAAAATGTTACCGACAGTAACTAAAAGGAAAAAAATGTAGTAGGAATCAAAGCAAACCCTTCAGAACACTTATCCTCACCCCACAACCTTTTCTTTCCCACTGACAATGTAAAGAAACAAAACCTAAAATTCCCAGTCAGTTTACCACCTCTAAAATAGTCTTTCTTTAGTTCACTTAGGGAGAGAAGTCCCTCTTGTTAATGCTATGGAGACTTCTCCACAAGAGAAGAACACATTGACACCAAACCATGATACTCCCTCGTGCCATATTATGATCACCTACCACACACTGTGTTTAAGATGGTCACTCCCAATCTTTGTTTCCTTTCCAGGTCTGGTACATGGATAGTTACACCAACAATAAAATCGTCCGTGAATACAAATCCATCGCAGACTTCGTCAGTGGGGCTGAATCAAGGACATACAACCTTCCATTCAAATGGGCAGGAACCAACCACGTTGTCTACAATGGCTCCCTCTATTTCAACAAGTACCAGAGCAACATCATCATCAAGTACAGCTTCGACACAGGGCGGGTGCTGGCGCAGCGTAGCCTGGAGTACGCTGGCTTCCACAACGTCTACCCCTACACCTGGGGTGGCTTCTCTGATATCGACCTGATGGCAGATGAAATTGGGCTGTGGGCTGTCTATGCCACCAACCAGAACGCAGGCAACATTGTCATCAGCCAGCTGAACCAGGATACACTGGAGGTGCTGAAGAGCTGGAGCACGGGCTACCCAAAGAGAAGTGCAGGAGAATCCTTCATGATCTGTGGCACCTTGTATGTCACTAACTCGCACTTAACAGGAGCCAAGGTCTACTACTCCTACTCCACAAAAACCTCCACTTATGAGTACACAGACATTCCTTTCCATAATCAGTATTTTCATATATCCATGCTTGACTACAACGCAAGAGATAGAGCTCTCTATGCCTGGAATAATGGACATCAAGTCCTGTTTAACGTCACCCTTTTCCACATCATTAAAACTGAGGATGACACATAATTTTATTTCCCTTACCCCTCCCTCCCTCAAAGCAGTCTCATTTGTGATTAACTCTAAAAGCATCCATCTCTCTCAGTTCCTTTTAATTTACGTTTCTTTCTTCATTAAACAAAAGCAACATTTTCTACTATGTAATGCATCTCAAATATGGCTGAACCTGTCAAAAATGACCTGTCAGAGATAAAAAGCATCTTAACTCATGATTTTGCAAGGTCTGTCAAGACCTTGTCTTGAAAAGCACTAAAGAGGATTTAAATGGCTAAAGACAGTTTTTAAAAGATCATGATCTGCCTTATTTTAGAGTCAGAGACTAATGGTGGCTTAAATGCATGAATGTCTTTTTTTACCTCATTTTTTGTTTTAATATATTGCTTAACTTCAGGAAATATTTCAGTAGTGTCAGACACATATTGCACATTGTATTTTTTTATTTATTCCAAAAAAAAGATTTAGTAGGAATTTAATTTTCTTAGACAAGGCGTATGATTCATTTTGCCATCATCCAATTTCAGATGTGGTGCTGTACAGTATGTTTTTAAATCTCTTGCAAACATTTTATCAACCGTATGTATTTCTACCATTGTAACCACCATTGTGCAATTGTATCTCTTCACTTATGTGAAAGTAAACTAAGTACTATTTTTTATAAAATATATTGAAGCTTAACTGCAGTTCTGGCTATGAGTCAATTGAATGTGGTAAAAATCTGATAAAAGGTTGTTATTTCTGAGAAAGACCAGTAGCTTCTCAGATGCATGATTTATATTCTCAGCTTTGCTTCCCAGATCCCCTCTTCACCAGTGCTGCTTACTGGCACATTTGCAACTTTGAAGCTTCCTGCCAGTTCCAGCTTCACAATTGTTTGCTCTGCCCAGTTTTTATCTCCTGCTGCTGGCTTCTCTCTCTCTCTCTCTCTCAGTATTTTTCTCCTACTTTCTTCCCTTCCACCATTTGACTGCCCCTGTTTATGCTTATCCCTGCTGTGACTTTACAAGCCAGAAGCTGGAAGGAGCTGGTGTCCACCAGCTGAGAGTGGGAGTGCATCCTGTGTTTGTGCTACTCTGGGGCACTGAGAAGCAGTGGGAAAAGCAAAGCTGCTCTCCATCTGCCTGTCTTCTTATTCATAACAGGAGAACATTTATCTGTTGACAAAACTCTTCTCTGGGACGACAGTAATCACAGAAAATACAGCAGGGAAGGTGCAAAGCCCAGAGGATCAGTGTGGCCCCTGGTATTCACCAAAATTCTTGTTAGAGAGCACCATCAAGGCCAAGCTCTTGCAAAGAGGTTTGGGGCTTGCTGGCAGTAGAATTGCTACTCCCAAATTGATGCCTTCAAGAAACAAATATTTCTGAAAACTCTGGGAATTGCTGTACTATCTCATTAGAAACTGCGGGGCAGGTAGAGGTGTGCATAATTGAGAAAAAAGGAATGAGGTGCTATCTATCTCTTTTGGCAAAAATAGAAAGAAATTACCATTAAACACTAGTAATCAGACTTTTTTAATAGCTGGGCTCTAACATATTGGTAAAAGACAAGTATCTGAAAAATTCTGTTAAAGCTGTGTTCCTCAAACTATCTCAGCTTCTATTTTTTATATCCTTTGCAATTGAAAAGCCAGATATTTTATTTGCTGGTTCTTCTAATGTACCAGCTGAGATCACCTAAAGCCTACTTAATGTTTTCATTCTTATAAATATATGTGTCTATATATGTTTACAAGTATGCTTTATAATACAAGCCCATGTGAAGCTGAACACATTGCCTTATTTTTCATACCAGTTGCAAAACAAAAAAATGCTAATAAGTTTTCAAAAACTGATAAAGGAGGCAAAAAAACCTGCAAAACAAACAACTAATTACATTGCAACAGGACCAGAGAAAAGTTACTTCCTTGCTCCCATCTCCTCTCTAGATCAAATGGTAGCTATTGTCCCATACAATCAGTTACACAGAATTTGGACAGACTCAGTTCAGCTAAATAGACAAATTAAATCACTTCCCTCCTGTAACCAACTTACCTGTATTGACAATGAAACCTCCTCTGTGACATGTGAAAATGTATATGACTATTCATTAAAAAAGGTATTTTGTGTTATACAGGGATGTTTTATGAAAATGGAGTATGTTCAGATTTTTATCAAAAGCCATAAAAAACCCCTCAATCTTTCCTCTGTACAGAGTAATTTCAACAAAACACAAGTTTTTTCAACCAGTAGAGTATTTGTAAAAACATTAGTCATTAGATTGAGAAATTAAACTTCTTTCTACTCTATCATCATAAACTTGAAGAATAGCCACAATCACTTTATCTGAAAACAATGATTACTACCATATTTCTTTATAAGAATTTCACACTGTGTGATTGGCATACATACACTAGTATAGGTTGATAACAGTTCTTACAGTAAGATTACTCTCACCTGATTTCAATACCATTTACAGGGTAATACACCTCTTAGGCAAAGAAAAGAAAAACACTACTACAGGGTGACAGAGGTGGATGGAGAAGAGGGTTAGGAAAAGCACCTTTGTAAGGTGGCTTGTCGAACCAAGACAAATCCTGACCTTCTAAATCAGTAACAACAGGTTGGATTCAAATATTTAAACATGAAATAACAGCTTCCATACAATCAATACAAAACATGGTGAGATATTATCAAGTAACACAGCTTTCTGCTAAGGAGCACTTGTTTTTTCTGTGAATGTGTTGATCACCTGTCTTTTCAAAACTGGAAATTCCAAAGTAATATTCCCATAAGGCTGAAACCACCAAGACTCAGTGTAAGCAGATTTCTGTTACAAGCTTTGCCTTCATAATTGGGCAGCACAGGTAGAAAATCTTCATAATGCAGAAGCAACCTACAAGTTTTATAGTTGAAGCATGTGCTTTTTATTATGATAATGGGATACCAGTAGTAGGTAGGAGGAAAAAAACCATCTCCCTAAACATGAGGAATCTAATTGTAAAGTCTCTTTCAGTATATTAATGACCTTCTGTTTCAATGGATAAACATGTAAAAGGACCATGTCACTCCTCCACCCAAAACAGGATACCTAATTTCCAAGCTGTGCTGGCAGCAGAGAGGGGTGCAGACAATCCCCAGATCTACCCCAGGAACACAAGTCTGCCAATCCTCCAGGCATCCTGGCCTGAGGGAGCCTAAGGAACATAAATGATGCACACCACAAAAGCCATAGCACTCTCCCTGGAATGGACTGACTACTGCCCAGGACAAAATAGGCAGAACAAACCTTCCCAGAGAAAGCTTCCTGCACAGTAATAATCTTCTGTGGTCCCTTCTGGCAGTTTGTGCCAGCCAGTAGCTCCCAAGTCTGTTGCTCTGCTGGAAGGCTGAGCAGCCTGCCCTGTGTGTCACAGCATGCCAGCAGACCCCTGGAAGGGTGGTGTGGAACCTCCCCAGCACTGCAATCACTGCTAGCAAAAGATGGGATTCCATTTGAAAAATTAAAATAAAATGGCTGAGTGATGGATTGATACAAGGTTTTAATCGCAGATTTCTTATATCTAAGAATCCTCCTTTTCAGACAAGCCCAGGGGCACTGGCTGTCACTCAGCCCAGCAGCTGGATCCACAGCAAGGGCTGTTTGTTTCAAAGCACAGTCTGAACAAACCTGTTACCTGCTAATTTGTCATAATCAATTGCTTAGAAAATGCCAGAGTAGAGATGAACAAACCATTCACAGCAAATTACTCATCCAATAAATTGTATCCTGTTCCAGTTCAAGAATTGCCAGGGAACAGTCTTGATACATACTGATGTTTGTGCCAGTGAAAATATTTTTTGAACTCATTTGAATAAGCACCTCTTCCTATAAATCACCCAAGCATTCCCTGCTGTGAATCTCATACCCTTGACATGCAGAATGCAATGCTGAGCATTTGGACATCTTTTCCACAAAAGGCAAATGAGGGCTGCAGCTGCAGATCTTTGGGCAGAGCTGCATCACAGCTGCTGTGCTGACAAGCTCCCCACACCACTAATTCCCAGGAGAGAAACTCCTGCAACAGTGTCACAACTGCATCCCACCAGAAGCTCACACTCAAAAGGACTCAAGCATGCAAACTACCTTCCACAAATCAAAAACCAAATCCTGAAACTCACTTCCCCTCCAAGAAGAGACCACCTTACTTCCAGAACTGAAAGCAAAGCCTGTTTTCTAAGTTGAACTCTCCTCAGTAATTCTCCAAACACGTGATCATATGCATGGACATCAACATGCAAGCAAATAAATTAACTATAAAATAATCCTAGAATTATAGAATAATGTTATTTTTCTATAGGAAAGATCATTTAGGTTATGTGAAGATCATTTTCTGCAGGGTTTCTGAGGGTTTCTGCACTCACTTAATGGGAAACTGAGGAAAGAGTTAACCAGCACCAAGCTGTGGAAAGTACACAAAAATGACTGGTTTGCATAGTATGGCTTTTTCCTGGCCCTAGAAAACAGAGAGTCTATATTGATGCAGTAGTTATGACCACAGAGTCACTAAACTGAGGTGTGCAGTTTTCTCAAAACTGCAAGCACATCGCCCTCCTGAATATTCTGGTATTATGATTAATTATCATCCTTATAATCTGTGGGCTCCTGTAGACTTCTACTTGTGGTCAATCTGTGTATTTAGTAAGCATTTCAAGGTAACTTCTACAGTGCTACATCTCTCTCTTTTCCTCAGAAGCCTCTCACACACATAGCACACATTGTGTCAGGACATGAGGGTCATGAACACAAGGGACACGCCTTTTCTGCAGCTCTCATTACTCAGGAGGGATTATTCATAAATATAGATATTGATTTTGATTGATATCAAAACTCTCTTCCAATACCACCTCTGGAGGGAATCCTCACTCTTAAAACAAAAATCATTTTTTATTGATTTAAGCTTCCTCAGGATTGTGTTTCAAAAAACAGAAGAGTTTTAAACACAGCTCACTATAGATGAATACTATATTTAGATCAGCTGCATTCTGGCTCCACCTTGACATCCACTGTCCAGAAGTACCTTTTTCCCTAGAGACAGTGTGACTGATAGACCAGGGCAGCACAGGAAAGTATATGAAGACACATGAAAATGACAGCTAACAGCTCAGATCTGCCATCTCAAAACATTGAGATGTGTCTGTGCCTTTTGTACAGAAGTTTGAATTCCTATTTACACAGTTCTTATATTAAAAATAAACAGGAAGAACCCACTGGGCCAGAACTACACATTTTTCCCCCACATATTATCAGCCACATACACAAACCACTCCAGCTTATTTTTCTTTATATTTTCTCTTCTTTTGTTGGCTCTAATAATCTTGATCCTCACTTAAACCTGCCTCAACCCCTCTCATCTTGTAGTATGTTTAATGAGTGGCTGTTCAGATAGAACTCAAAGTGCATAGAAGATTTATAGTACAGCAAGTTTCATCTGGAGAAGGTATAATTTTTTTTTCCAGTTTAGCTCTAGCATGCTCATAAAACTGCTTACAAGCAATACTGATTGTATATCATGGATTGCTCTACAGAAATAATTTAAATCAGATTCAAGATAACTTTCTTCCCTTTTATTTATTTTAAAGGAAATATTTTGTTTCATATCTGCCATGGCAAGAAATTCATTCAAATTAAATTCATCATTGTCCCCAGCAGGTTTAGACATCCA